ATATTTTACATTTCGTATATGATAGAATGAAAGAAAAAAAAATCGCGCAATAAAATCTTTCCAACAATACACATAAATGCAATGATCGTACTGAATAAAATATAAAAAAAATATATAATATCATTAAACCAATTCCAAAGAAATAGTTCCAGTACCTTAAACCAGTCCGTATTAGGCTTCACTCCCATATCATAGATATCATATCTTTTATTGACTGCAGAGTTAAAATTCTCTCCCAAATAAGGTGGAGGTTATAATATAATGTTGGTAAATACCGGCATACACACACACGAGTTTTTATTGTATATTTATATAGCTTTTAGTGTCATAAACTGTTGAAATTATGTGTCAATCGAGACGAATTATGTGTATACGACAACTATTTGGTCATGCCATGTCTTTTTACTAGTGACGAGAAAATATGACCATAGATAGAGCGTAGACATTATTCTTTATCTATCAATCGTAACTAATTTACAACTGTCATTTTTGACAACAAAAAATATATCTTGAGCATTGTGCAAATACGTTCTTTGCCACTTATCTATATTCAAACCAAAAGTAAAATCTTTATAATATGTTTTTTTTACTAAACATATATGGTACAAAAGACAAACTTAATTCTATATAGTGTTCTCTGATAGTCAATTTATTTGTTTAAACTTTATTAATCAATAAAACGTAGTACAAAGGCGGACTTGATTATAATGGCATTCTCTATCAGTCAACATTTGGGAAGTGCGGAGATTCTCAAAAACTAATAATCTATTTTTCTTAACGCCAAAATCCTTGTGGCTCAGAGATCTAAGTGTCTTGCTTTAATCACTCTTATAATTTGTCTAATATGTATACGCTGATTTCAATGTTTCGACTCGATTCCTTCCTTAGATATCACACTATATGGTATGATTATTGCAATATTTTTCTTATGGAACATAGAATGGCAAATAAGCTGATAGCTCAATTTATGGAAAATAGTAACCATCGCCTATAAAGATGAATTACACAATTACACCATGAACATTACAAAACAGACTTTGAAACCCATGCATGTTATCATTCCTGATATGTTACATTACTTTGTATGTACATTATTTCTATCAGAGAATAGAATATAGAAATCATATTGTCCTATTAGAGAATAGAATTCGAAACTTCATTTGACATTTCATTTCACCAGAGGGAGACTTTGTACAAATGTCACTTGCTTGGGCACCTCTGTCCCATTTGTGTTTTTATCGTGAAACAATTGTATTTGCATGGCTGTGTTTCGGTTTGAAGGGTGGGATATGACAGTGAATTTACAGGGTAAAGAGGAATAACACCTAAGTCCTCAGGAATGCCAAGGCATGGGGCATCATGGACAAAACAGTATACTGTGCTATGTCCATGGTACTGCTCATGTCTATAAGCGACGGTTATCACTTTCCATCAGGTGGGCCATCAGCTTGTTTGCCATTCTAAGTTGCATAAAAAAATTATTGTAACAATAAATAAAAGCGCAAATTGAAATGGACTTTAAAATGACAAAGGATTTTTTTTTATTCTATTGAGTTTGAATACGGTACATTATCATATTATTATTATGATTAGACTTCATACCATTTTGGCTAACAATGGCCTAGAGGTCACTGGACTGTACCAAAAACCTCAATAGGTCGATCATCTATTTAGCATCAGATCTTCGTCCTTCTTTTTTAAAATGAAAATTATAATATACTTTATAACTTATTATTATAAGGTTCAAAATTTAGAACACACATTTTTTTCTTTTCTAAGAAAACGTAGAACATTTTATAAGTACAAATAGAAAAGATCACGCTGTGCGAAAGTGGCGCCAGTTGAAAATAAAATATTTAATATTTCTTTTTTCCCGCCTTTAACGCCATATTAAATCGGACATAAATTTTGTTTACGTTATAACACAACAGCGCCCTCATTGTAATAAATTGGTAATCTTTTCTTAGATTAAGAATAATACAAAATGTTATTCTATCAGAGTCGAAATCTTTATAGAAGGTTAATTGTTAAGTAGTCTTAAAATAATTTAGAAAATAATAAATTTCATAAAATTAACGGACCCAAAATCAAATCCGTACCCTCAATTATGTGAAACAAAATAATATTATTTCGTTGCGAAGGCTCTCAATCAAATAGCGATACTTGATACCTACGTCAACGACACATCGCCGCGTGCCTATGTTAATGTACAGATTAAGTGCCTGGAAAGTAACTGTTATGTACCTAGTACTTACCATGGAGGTCTGATAACGACCTACTTCCAACATATGTACTCCTAGTACTAAAGATTATAAGGTAAAAGGAGGACGAATTAATTATTTTATAAGTACTCACAACGATTACGAGGAAGTGAATTTTCAGTAATAATAGGCTCTAACGTTCTCATTGCGAGCAATGTATCTCTCAGGTCGACCTCTTTATGGTTCTTTCTAGAAAAAAATATAGTTAGTCCTTCTTCATCCTCATCTATCATCTCTCACTGGTGCCCCGCCAGCATATACCGATAGAGCAGGTGGTAGTTACCATTCCATTTTCATCTAATTAGGTAAAAAAGAACTCTTTTTATAACTTTTTGAGAGCTACCTCTTCATCATCATAATCATATCAGCCGTTAACTCTCCACTGCTGAACATAGGCCTCCTCCATAAAGAGGATTTTGCCAGTAGTTGCCATCCTTGGCAGGCGGGTTGGCAAACCGCAGTTAAATTTTGGTGATATATTCAGAAGGACACTGCTCATCTTTCAACCATTTACTTTGAACTAAACTGTTATTATTAAACTGTTAAAACTATTAGTATGTTCCCTTAGTCGCCTCTTACGACACCCATGGGAATTGAAGGGGTGTCACAAACTCTCACAATTTGTAACACAGTGACATACAGGCAGTGGCGTAACAATAAGGTGGCATACCGGGCAAAATGCCACGGGTCCCCGTTCTAAAGAGGTCTCTGATCCGAGAGGTCGTAAGCACAGGAAGATTTTAATATTCATTTGTCACATAAAATAGAAAAAAAAATTTAAGCCAATTCTATACCAAGAACCGCATGGCATCAAGCTTCCACATATAACTAACATATACAACGATATGTTTCAATTCCCATGAATCACTAATACTGGCAACACATTCGCTGTTTAGACTTTGTAGTAATGTGTATGAAAATATTATATTACCAAATATCCCAAACGCTGGCCAGCTGAAATGGATTCCTCCACTGTTATACTTAATATTGTTAAACTGGTACATTTTAACTGCAGTTACACTGCGTTTAACGACTCGTCTTACTGACGTTCCGCAAACTATTTCATCATTAAATGGGTTTACGATTTACTGTAACAAATGGTAGTGATAGAAGCATTTTATTCTGTATATTTCCATGCGTTTCCTATTTAATATAGCTGTCATCTGTTTTGAAGATGAAAGAGAGAGAGATATGCATATTTTTAATTGAACTAGGTTTTATCTTTCAGAAGTCTCTATCACTGTTATTTGATTTGAATTATTTTTTTTAATTCCGCTACCATTAGTATGTGTGTGACTGCCAACACTCGAAGATTAGGAGGGAAAGGGATTGTTAGTAATGGAGACTAAAAATCCCATTGCTAGCAATATACCTAACTAGGTCGACCTCCACGCGGTTCTCCCTGGAAACTATCATGATTAATTCCTGATGAATTCGTCATGATAGGCTAACTGGCCTGTTTTCATTCTCATCTATCACCCTTCACTGGTGCTCCGCCAGCGTATCCCGTTAGCTCAGGCGGGGTTACCTATCCATTTTCATCCAACAAAATAAAAACACTCGAAGATTGACCACCACTATTAGTACCAGAAGTTCTACAACTTTCCGTATCAATCACCGACTGCTATTTTGTTCACGCACGTTTCGCGACACGTGTTTCGCCTCTAAACGAGGCATCTTCGGACAAATTATTAGATTGCTACCCGGAACGTAGTATTAACCCTTGAGCACACAAACTATGAAAATATACAGCGATATATGTACATATAAGTAGATATTTACCACACATAAACTATATTATAAAACACTAAATCAAATCACTGAGTACTAACTAACATGATTATCACTTTTTTAATTTTTAAATCCTTAGTAATACTACAATTGTGGAAGTACGTTTGTTTGTATATTAACAACGTTATACACAATGCGCTATTAAATATAGTGTATGCTATAAAATATAGTACAGACTTAAAAATAATTAGAAATTATTTTGTCCATACTCCTACCAAAACCGCTTCGAGCATATGTTGTGCAAGTTATTGTCCTATTGTCTGTCTCGCTCTAACATACAGATTATTGTATTTTCTTTCCTTTACATTGCCAACTTCTACTACTTCATAATCTAAGGTATAACCTTATGATGCATTAAGAGCTTACCCAATCATTATGGAATACTTGTAATATATGGAATGGAGAAGAATATAGGATACTTTTTGTCCCTGTTCACGCAGACGAAGTCACGGGTAAAAGCTACTAAATAAATACTACTGAACGTATAACATAGCGCCATCTAGTGCCAAATTTTGCTAGTAATGGGGCCGCTTAATCCCATTACTAATAATCCTCTCCCTTTGATTATCAAATGAGGTGTGAAGGATCTAGAGGGGTAGTTTTAGCAAATCATGCTCGCTACATATAAAAAGATAATGTTTCCAACAAAAAAATATCAATAAATAATGTAATCTTATTAATGTAATGAAATTTTAAGTATACGAAGCCTGAACTTTGTACATAGGAGATATTTAAGAAAAAAATTTTATATGAAATTTTATTCGACAGGAGAAATACAAGCTCTAACCACATATTGTATTACTACGTGTTGTATTACTAATTGAATTTGTTACTTTTTATAATTGATTTTTTTTTTTTTATATTTTTAATCATTCTTAGCTAATTATTAATTAATTATTATACTTATTAGCTACTCGTATGCTAAGTCTTCGTGTTCTCTCATTACAGACGGTTTCGGAACCCCGGCCTCCAGCGCCTGAGGAGATGCAGGCGCGACACAGTCTCTGGTGGCATTTAGTGCTCGACCTACCTATATTACTATTAGGTAAGTACATTGAGCTTTATTAAAACGTTTTCTTTTCATTTTACTCGTACCACTGGTGATGAACTGATCTACACTGGGGGGGAAAGGGATTGTTAGTAATGGAGACTGAGAATCCTATTGCTAGCAATATACCCAACCAGGTCTACCTCCTCGCGGTTCTCCCTGGAAACTATCATGGTTAATTCCTGATGAATTCATCATGATGGGCTAACTGGCCTGTTTTCATTCTCATCTATCACCCTTCACTGGTGCCCCGCCAGCGTATCCCGTTAGCGCAGGCGGGGTTACCATACCATTTTCACCCATAAAAAAAAAAATATTTTAACCATTTTAAAGCTTTAATATGTGACTCAATTAATTGTCTGCCATTTGTAATTTTTGTATATAATTTATTATTAATAAGTAAATATGTTGACACTTATATAATATGACGATATAAGAAAAAAATGTGACATTTGGTTTTGTTTTGTAATCGTAGCATAGCATAGTAGAACAATTAAATAAATTTTGTACGCCAGATTCTGGTGAAAATTGTGAACAATATTTAAATATTATGTACCATCTTTATACCATTTTACAAACAAAATAAAGTTATTTGTATTTAACAATTATGAATTATGTTTGTCATTGGCAAGTGACACTAATATACATATAACAAAACAATATCGAACTTCTACTAAACTATTCTTACTATTCTTTGTAAATTCATTTCAAGAGTAACCCCACAGATTTGATGATGAACTGGTTTGGATAGGTTGTAGTTGTAGGCGTTGATAATTTCTAAAAAATATCGTAATTATGCTTGTTATTTCTTGTAGATTGTAATTTATTTTTTCTACAATTGCACATGAGTACATATTATTATATGTTTAGTTTTGTATAATATATATTAATCATTTTAAAAATGGGCGCTAATGACTGAAAAACAATTTGTACTAATGCAGTTATTTACGAATCAAATTGTTAGTTTCTATTTTTTTTTTAATTTTCAGCAGAAATACTTTTGAAACTACTCTCATTATCGATTTCAGTCTAATCTATTGCCAACGACAATTTTGTACTACGTAATTACAATATTAAACCCTATTAACGCATTATTTTTTTAATTTCTTAAAATACAATGTTGCTAGTGTTGCAATTCGAAAATATAAAAAGTTACAAATCCAATATCGATTCCAAATTAATAGGTAAAATAACCATTGAATTTTATTGCAAATTTTAATGCACTGCAGTGTACGTAACAAGTTTTTAAATTACCAACTAAACGGAATATTTAGAATAATTATTTCGCACCATTTATAGTACGTCAATTAGGTTGGTTCTTAGTCGAATTACATTAAACCAAATCCAAAAATAAATTAATCCGATCACAAATAATGACGGGTTGCCAGTATAATGAATGCAAAGTTACTCGGATATCAGAAAATAACTGTACTAAAATCAAAACAAGTTCCACCCACCACTTGCATTATAGTTGTCACTGGCATACAACATGGCAACTATTACAAAATACTTGTAACTTATTAGATTAATTTATTCGTGGCAGAGACGAAGTGCATGTTGCAGATCATTCGATCTGTTCTTTGTACTGCGTAATCCCTATTTCTTATTATTATTATTGCGTTTCTGCAATGTATTTTTTGCAGAGCAAATTAGTTTAAGCATTGCCCCACAAAAAAAATTGCAATTTAATTGTTTGAATGCTTGTATGTTTTCTTATTACTTATTTAAAGATTCTAAAATAATATATTATTTCTGGGGGGAAAGGGATTGTTAATAATGGATACTGAGAATCCCATTGCTAGCAATATACCCAACCAGGTCGACCTCTTTGCGGTTCTCCCTGGAAACTATCATGGTTAATTCCTGATGAATTCATTATGATGGGCTAACTGGTCTGTTTTCATTCTCATCTATCACCCTTCACTGGTACTCCGCCAGCGTATCCCGTTAGCACAGGCGGAGTTACCACACCATTTTCACCCATCATAAAAAAAAAATATTTCTTAAACATTGTGTATGTTTTATGTCTTATGCTAACACTACTACATAAATAAATGGAATAATATAAGTAAACATGTTTTTTTTAATTAATTATTTTTGATAGACTATTTATATATTAATTAATTAATTTATTAATTATAAATTATAACATATATGTATGTATTATTTATTTATTTTACACTTTATTGCACCTAATAATTTTTTTTTATACTACTTAGACTGGCAAACAAGCTGACGGCCCACCTGATGGAAAGTCGTAACCGTCGCCTATAGACATGAGCAATACCATGGACATAACAGAGTGTACTGTTTCGCCCATGATACCCCCCATGAGTTGCCAATCCTGAGGACTCAGGTGTTATTTCTCTGTACCCTGTAAATTCACACCATATCCTACCCTTCAAACCGAAACACAGCCATGCAAACACAACAGCTTCACGGTAGAATCACGAATGGGACAGAGGTACCCAAGCAATCGACTTTTGTACAAAGTCTCCCTCTGTGAAGTGATATAAAAAAGCGGCCTTTACGCTAAGCAATCTCTTCCAGACAATCTTATATATATACATATATGAAAATAATAAATTAAATAATTAATTACTAAATATAGATAAAACTTGGCGTATTTATAAGCGTGCATTTATATCAACATTTGTGATAATTACTTCGACTCGCATACTCGAGAACACCAATAAATTGAGAAGCACGCCATTCATTCAAGCAACACTACCAACATTTCCTATTCTATTTACGTGTATAATATACAACGTGAAATAACTGTTTTATATTAAGTATAACTAGTTTCGTGTTTATCACGGAAACAGTTTTCATTCATAACATTTGCTGCGCGGGCGCAACTAAAGTTGTAAATCTTTCATTACATACGTGTATGTTGCGGCCAAAACTCTTAACCAGTCAAAAATATTATTGTCTAGTAAAATCAATCAAAAGTACTTTTGACTGAACAGGTTGGTCAAACATTATTTTGCCTGAAAATTATTGGTTATTAGTACTTTTGAAGTACTAATAAATGAAGTACTAAGAATTAGTAAATTTGCGGTTAGGTTAGGTACTTTTAACTGTTATTTTAGGGGGGAAAGGGATTGCTAGTAATCGAGACTAAAAATCCCATTGCTAGCAATATACCTAACCAGATCGACCTCCACGCGATTCCCCCTGGATACTGTCATGATTAATTCTTCATAATGAATTCATCATGATAGGCTAACTGGCCTGTTTTCATTCTCATCTATCACCCTTCATTGGTGCTCCGCCAGCGTATCCCGTTAGCGCAGGCGGGGTTACCGTTACCATACCATTTTCACCCATCAAAAAAAAAACTGCCTCACTGCTAGCAATATACTCCATCAGGTCGACCTCCACGCGATCTTCTCTGGAGACTGTCGTGGTTAATTCTTGTTGAAATGGTCACGATGGGCTAACTGATCTGCCAATCCATTTTCATCCAACAAAAAAAACTGTTATTTTATTCAAAAGTATTATGACTAAAGCATACGGTCAAAAGTATTTTTGACTGATTTTGCAAGTCAATAGTACTCTTGACTGGTTAAGAGTTTTAACTGCAACATCCTCGTATATAGTATACCTGAACGGCTGCGCGGCGATCCAATAACACGGTTTCAGACAGGAAATTGCTTCACATGTTATTATGCATTTATAATAATAACCCTGCGATATCTCACTGTGATACGTTGCTTTGTTATGGTTTTTATTTGACCTGTATTGGTTTCTTTAATAAAGAAAGAAAGAAAGAAATTGTAAACTTAGATTTAATCATTTTTGAATAGCTGTTAAATGAATGGTAACCCCGTCTGCGTTGATATATGTTTATGAAAACCTGCTTATGGTAACGGTATACAATGTCGGGCCATCCGTGGAGGATGAAACAATGGGGATCAAGGTAGGTCAGTTAATCCGTCGTGGCAAATTCACTAAAAATTAATCACGATAGTTTCCAGGGGAGACCGAGTGAAGATCGACCTGACATGGTATATTGACAGCAATGAGGTCTAACTTTCCCATTACTAACAATCCCTTTCTCGCTGGAATGACAGGTATTTTCACCATGATGATGTCCAGAAGAGACTGCATGGAGGCTGACATAAGATGTATTGTTGACCATGGGGCAGTTGATCCCCATTATTAACGAGCACAATGCTCTATGTGTTATGTTATATATCTATGCTAGAAAAAAAATTAGAAAAGTTAAATTTCTAAATTCACCCCACCGAGAATTAAACTTGGAACTTCAATATTTCCACTGCACCGAAAGTAATGATTATTTTTTTATTATGTACCTCACAATTAAATTTCCTTACAAGTTACATTATTTCTTAATACAAAAAAAAAATCAATAAAAACAATGTTTAGTAGCATGATATTTCTATAATTTCCGTTAAAGTATTATAGAAATTCCCATAATGTTAATCCAATAAACTCCTCCCACCTTTCTATTAAGTTTATCACGACATCGTTCAAGTTAAGCACCCCATAAACTAAACACAGCTAAGTTTTATTAACCGCAACAACTATTATGTGTTCATTAATTACATTGTATGTTTACAACCGCTGTCTACTTCTATGTAGGTAATATTCCCTATAATCGTTCGGAATCGATTATTAATCGATAATGTACAAAAGTCGATTGCTTGGGTACCTCTGTCCCATTCGTGTTTCAACCGTGAAGCAGTTGTGTTTGCATGGCTGTGTTTCGGTTTGAAGGGTGGGATATGGCGTGAATTTACTGGGTACAGAGGAATAACACCTGAGTCCTCAGGAATGGCAACGCATGGGGGGTATCATGGGCGAAACAGTCTACTCTGTTATGTCCATGGTACTGCTCATGTCTATAGGCGACGGTTACCACTTTCCATCAGGTGGGCCGTCAGCTTGTTTGCCATTCTAAGTTTTATAAAAAAAAAAAAATACGATTAAATCGATTGCAAATAATAAACTGATTATAAATGACTATGACT